TAGGACGCTCACCGACCATGCACATGGTCCGGGGTTCGATTCCCGGTCACAGACGCACTCCTTTACCTCTCTAAGTCAGAAATAATGTTGGTAAAGAGGAAAGGTTGGGCATGAGGCTAGGAACCCTATCCTGTAGAAATAAACACTGCTACAGAAACTTCAAACCACTAGCCTGAAGCCTTATGTTCCACTGGGGAACATGAAGGAAAAAAAATTCCAAAAACAGTGCTTATAATACAGAATGGAATTCTCAGCATCTGTCACAACACCTTGCATCTAATTTACTCAAAATATAAATAAAATTAAAAATTAAAACAAAATTAACCAGGGGAATTTGTCCACGCTTACGATATAAAGTCACAAATATTTGAAGCACGAATTGAGAATATTACATATAATAATAACAGTGAGTTTGTTTCAAACAGTATTATCGATTCAGTTAGGAAATTTTAGCATGTTATAAATTGTTGAATCTAATGTTCTGTTGATATAGTATAGTGAGGGAAGGTACAAAATTGACAGTTATTAACACAGCTTAAATGATGTTCACACTTGTGAAAAAATAAATAAAAAATAAAAACAAAAAATTTAGAGGATTATAAATATAAGGAGTACAATAACGATAAAGGTAGATGTTGTAAGGATGGAGGAAATGGCTTATTTAATACTGTAAACAAGGTTAGTTAGTTAGTTAGTTAGTTCATGCCTAACACTATTTTCATCACATAAAGTACGTGCCTCGAAATATGGTATAATGGAATTTCTATACAACATGGAGGTACGTGCATAAAGTCTTCTGAAAAGACTTCTTATTTTACCTGAGGAGGAGACAGAAGGTTGGAGCTGTGGGTAGAGTGGGTGCTCACAGTCTGACAAAATTGCTTTAGCAGACTTGTTGCATGACATCAAGTGCCATTAATCTTCGAGAAATGAAAGCTATATTATTATTATTATTATTCATGATTATATAATTCTGGTTTCCCAAGTCGTCATTGTTTTCCCTCCTTGATCAGCGTCTCCAACTTCTTTTCTTTACTGTTTCGTCTATACAAATAATGTTCTATCTGTCCAAAAATGGCTGAAATAAACTAATGTTAATGTATATTATCCGAAAATATGTTCAATGATTCATCATTCAATATATATATATATATATATATATATATCCTTATTCTAAATAACACTAATTCATGCATATATGTTATCTTGTTCAATAAATATACATTCACATACTTGTATAAATTTGTTTAAATGTTATCAGGCCATAAAGTGAGGGAAAATGAAAGAAGCCTTGTCTATTGACCTTATCAAAGTGTAACCAAAAACTAGGTGAATAACTAAGTTGGGGAATTATGGCGGGCAAAAAAAAAAGATGAATACAGAATAGTGAAATGTAAGCTAAAACAAATTAGCAAGTATGTATGTAAACGAATCAGAAAAGAAAGCATTAATTGGAAATTTATTACCTGAGATCATTTATGTCCAATAATAATGTTGACAATACTGGGTTTATTTTTGTACAAATGTTAATCGTTAGCAATAAATATTGTAATGGTTGTAGTGATCAAGTTCTTTTTCGAGACATGCAGTGCAAGTTTCTGACCCGTAGAGAAGAGCTGACTGACTGACTAATTTCACATTACTTATTGAAAATCCTAATCTTGTAATTTATGCTGAGGCAGAGTGCAGAAGATTTCCAAACTGGTTTTAGGTTGATGAAAGCGTATCTTGCTTTTCCGATTCTGGTTGGCTGATTTTTTAACTGCCTGTAGTTGAAACAATGCTTCCTATATAAATGAAGTAACCTCATTCAAGTCTCTCCCGTTGATAGCGGTTAGTGCTGGTTGTTGTTGTTGTTGTTGCTGTTGCTGTTAGTTTTTTTTATCCTCATCACTTGGATCTTCTCTGTGTTCACCTGAGGTCCTGTTTTTGAACTGCTTCTTTAGCTAGTTTGTTACTTTTCGCCTGTAAGTCTTCGAGTTTGTGTGGCATTAAACGTAAATCATCCACGCGCGAAATACAGATCTTCTAAAGTCTTCTTATCGGTGGTCCAACGTTTTCCTGCCTTCTTACTCCCAAGCACAGTCTTACGTATAATCCAGTCCACTGCGATTAGAAATAGGCAGCCTTCTCTTACTCCTGCATGTACTGCGTACGCCTCGCTGAGTTTTTCGTTGTGGATCACCTGACATGTGGCATTATTATTATTATTATTATGGTACCTCTGAATTTCTTTGTTTTTCTTACTTTCATGAATTGTGGCAAATTGTACTGTTGGGATTTTTGTGTACAACTGTTATTGATCTAGGTATATAGGTCATTATGTGGTTACCTTTTCATACGTCTCCCAGCATGCTTTCTAAAAGCAGGCATTGGATCAATCAGAACAACGTTTAAACTTTCCCTTTTACGTATAAACTCGTGCAAAATTTCATAACATGAAACAAGGTGACAAATTATGACGTTAAAAATGAATCGTGCTTAAAATTCAGCTGTCCCAACCTGCCAATGTCACTGACATTTCTTCGGTTCAGTTATCGAAAAGAATATCTTATGTTTACTAAAGTCATTCCTTTTATATTTTATTATTGGGTACACATAATCTTTAGTAGATGAAGAAATATCGACGTTTAATCAAGATAAGCTGTAATATAAACGGGATTTTTGATCCCACAACTTCCAAAGTACCTGTTATGCTTAGATGGGAGACATAAACATCGTTGAATACGCTGATGATCTGACTGTCTGGTTGCCATTTACCTCTTGACCTGACTGTTCTAAACTGAGTAGCTTACTGTTGGACATAAACCAATGGCTTAAGTTAAGTGGGTTTACGTTAAATCCTTGCAAATGTCAGACAGTTAACTTCACCTTCAAGTATAAATATGATCAATACGATCTTGTTCGTTCACATGGAGCTTGTAGCATACAGGGCATTGAAATAGAAATTAAGTTAAACATTCAAATAAAATAGTTCCTTCCCCTGATCTTTCTTGGTCATCCCAAGTCTTGCCAATTTCTAAGAAAGTGTTCCGCCTGATCTTCTGCATTAAAGAGCTAAGACAATCAGGTAGCTATCATTCATCCAGTACCTTTATAGTTTGTTAACTCTTGCATTTTATCTATCGTACCCCACTGCTCCCTCTTAGTCTGTCCTGGGTTCCGCTAAAAGAACCATGTCATGTTGTGAAAGGTGTTAAAGATTGTCATTAGGGCAAGTAGTTTGCCAATACTAAGTCGTCTGGTTACTATTGTAGTCGACAGACACATGAACTCACGTGAGAATTGGTCTAAATCCATATTGTCTCGATCCCCTGTGTATTCACAACTCTCCCCTTCCATCTCATTAGGTAGGAGGACTAAATGTCGCTATAAAAAGATTATACGCTTGCACAACCAAGTACAGAAACTCAGAAATACCGCATGTGCCCAGCGTTCTATATGATAGAGATAGTGTTAAGCGTGAAATTTATGATCTACAGTGTATTAGCATAAAAAATCCAAATGGTGCTACTATCAATTTTGGTTACTTATACTCTGTAATGTTATTTCTTGTTACTGAGTAAATTAGATGCAGGATTGTACTCAATACTGAAAACTTCACACTGTATCATAAGCACTGTTTTGGAATAAAGGTGACCGTAATAAATTATTATTAAATCAAAACGACAAACTGATTGTCCGAAATACAAGATGCAATTCAGAATGAGATTCTTTGTCCAGTGATGATTGCCCAGCTAGCTAGGAATTGTGCACGAACGACTGAACATAACATGACAGTGTAACGCATGGTATGGATGAGAGCTTATGGCAATGTGTCACTTGAACCGTTGACACCTAGTGGTATCCTACAGGAATGCTCACTGTACACATTTCTTATCAATTTCATCATAGATGTACTAATGGACTTAACCCTAACTGCTGACTTCAGCGACTCAGGGATTGACTTGGTACCAGGGAATAATCTCGTTGACTTAGAATATACAGATGACATATTTCTGTTAGGTGAGGTGAACACGCTGAAAAAATGCAGAGTCTTCTGAACACGTTGAGCTGCAATCTGCAAATGTTTGGCATGCGATTCGCCCACTCTGTCAAATGTAAGATGATGCTACAGGAGTGAATTACACTGACTCCTAGCTTAGAAATAAAGAGTGAAGTGGTGGCTGAGCATGTTGACCACTTGACTTATTTGGAAAGTTGCATCAGCCAGTCCCAACGGGTTGATCGCCAACAACATCTGAGCACAGATAGAGAAGGCTAGTTTCGCGTATGCCAGTTTACGCCATCTCTGGCATAGCAGACGTGATATCCGGCTGGCTGTCAACCAGAGGGCGTGTGCACTGATCAGCAGTCCACTCCGTCCTCCTTTGTGGCTGTGAGACCTGGCCACTGAGAGTGAAGGACATGAAAAATGCCGGTTATCTGTCCTTGATCATAGGTGCCTGCGTTCTGTCTTCCATGTGAAGTAGTATAATAGAGTGAGCAATATTGAGGTTAAGCGTCAAGTACTAGGCATAGAGAGAAAATCAATCGACTAGGCTGGCCAGAATCGATCATCACCAGGGATCTCTGGGAGCGAACCAACCAGGAACCAACTGTGCAACAATTATGCAGGAAGAAATGCAGGTGGATTGGCTATAATCTGAGGAAATAAACCATCAAGTGACATCAAACGCCAGGCCATCGCTCGAGTGGAACCCGAACGGGAAGAGGCGAGTTGGTCTTCAGTGCGAGGGTTACTTGGAGGAGGTCATGTGAAGAAGAGATGGAACCATGTGGGCAGTTGTGGAGCCAGGTGAAAACTCTAGTAGAGAACCGAACGCAATGGGGGACGCGCGAGTGAAGCCCAATGTTCCTCTAGGAATTAAAGGAAATAATAATAAATAATAATTGTATGATGAACACTGTTAAGGCTAAAGCTATTATTATGATATATTTCTATAAGTCTCTTATACCTGCTAATTTTTTCTTCTGCCTTCTCCATTTTTCTCCTACAGTTCATCATGATGCTTCTGAAAACAGTGTAGCGAAAACCACGCCTACAACAAAACAATGTGAAGATGATGCTGCACTCAGTGAGAATTTGCCAAGAATTGATACAACTCGCCTGGCAAATGATCCATTTTTAGGCACAGTAGCTGGTCGATTAGCTCAAGAAATACACGACGAGTTTTTAGTTTGTAAAATATGCTTCGATAGTTATACAAATCCAAAATGTCTAGCCTGCTTGCATACATTCTGTGCTAAATGCATTGAAAAGCATATCTCTGCTGAAGTCACCTATAATAAGTACACAGATTATCGTGATTTCACCTGTCCGTTGTGCCGTAAACGTACACAATTACCACTGGGTGGAGTTAAACGTTTACCTGATAATTTTCTTATCTCTGGATTGACTGATTTAGTTCTAAGACAAAGAGCTTCATCGAATGGTTCGTCAACAGCGACAATCATTGGTAGTCCAACTACACCTAGGAATAATACTTCTATAGATAATCGACAGGTATCTAGTAATGTGAATGAAAGTATTGATTCGTTGCATCAATTACCCAGTCTAGAAAGAAAACCATTACGTTATGGGGAATGTGAGATATGCTCACAAGTAAGTCGTGGTGATCGGGGTCATTCAAGTGAACCGTTGAATAAGATTAATTCATCCGAAATCAATGGGAACAACAGCGCCACAACTAATAATACTACTAATGGTTATAATAGTAGTAATCAACAACAACGGGCTAGTTCAGCCAATCTGAGTCATTCACCTAAAGCAACTTCAAAATGTCTAGATTGTAATAAACTGCTCTGTGATGAATGTGTTCAACGGCATAGAAATACAAAAGTTACTAAAGATCATTCAACATTTGAATTACAATCACATAGTGAAATTGAGTGTAAAGATCATCCGGGTGAAACTGTTCGATTCTATTGTGATGCATGTTCACTGTGTATATGTGTATTGTGCACGTTTAATACACATCGTGAACATGAAGTAACAAGTTTTGGTGAAGCTGTTACAAAATTACGCCATGAATTATCAAGGAATTTAGATGTTACCTGTCAACGAATTGGTAAAGTTCAATCTCAAATGCATGATATACGTGAAGCGGCGGATACAGTCAGTAGGATAGAACAAAGAATTCATGATACAGCTGAACATTTTATTGAAGAAGTGAGTTGAAGTGAAATAAAAATTATAATTTTTTACTATTTTATACTTCCTATGCTTATGATTTACATTAGAAAGTCATGATGTTTACATGAGAAAAGCTCTGATTTGTTTCGAGTGTGATCACAAGCTGATATCAACTGGAGGACCACTGGTAAACCAACTGGGAGTACTGGACAGTTGTTTCGTCCCAGTTTGCGACTCTTCAGCAGTACGCGCTCACCACTGAGGTTCAAACCCAGAACCTTCTGGTCCAAAGGCAAGCTTGTAAACCATTCAGCCACTGGGACCAGATACAACGCCGCATGAATTCCAGCTTCTACTAGTTTGCGATTTATTGAGTTCAGCAGACATGAGGAAACATAATGCAAACTTGGTCCGTTTCCTTCGACGGGTTCATACTACAGTTTGATCATGTTAGTTTGCATTTGGAGTGGAATAAGGAGCTTTAGGCCTAAAGTACTGAAGGTACTGAACTATAAAGTTTCATTGGCGGTGGTTTAGTTGCTTTTTATGAGGTAGGCTTACTAGCATCATGTCCAACCTTCCTTCAGCTGGGGACTGGACTTTGAAACTACCTACACTATCCATTATACATTTGACTTGATATGATTTTGAGACTGCTGATTGACCTTATTCCTCACAGGATTTGTTGTTTTTATTTGTGTTTAAGTTACTTCACGTTTGATATCAATTTTCTATGCTGCCTATCCTCATATTTCACCTAATCAATGACCTAATTCTCTTTAAAATTAAGGTGTACTTGGGATTTTTGAAACCTTTCAGTGGCTACAGATATATATATGATAGATTCACAATAGTTTGCTTGCGTATTGATGAAGAGTCTCAAACTAGGCTGACGAAACAGCTGTCCAGTACTCCTCCCTGTAGGTTTTCCAGTGGTTCTCTAACTGATATCAGCTCATGATGAACTCTTCAATCCAATCGAAAAAAATCCCTGCAAAATCGATACTTGGAAATCCAGTTAATCTAATAGTTACTTCATATGAAACAAGTTTGTAGTGAATCTCTAAAGTACTAACGATTTGTAAAAAATTATATTTGTAAAGTCTCAGCGATATTGAAATGAGTAATTACAACGTTTCGTTCGCCAATCTGGTCCGAACCTCTTCAGGGAAATTAATCGAAGTTAACATAACAGGTTTATATATAAAAAAGACATCTTTTGTTTTTAAAAACTTTGTCCAATCATGAGTCATAAAACAAGTATAATAAACAAAATTGTACGAGTTGTGGTCAAAATTTGACCTCAGACTTACAAATATTGATCTACCTTTGTTAAACACTTTAAACACAGTGTGTGCATGTGTGTGTGTGCGGACAAACAGTTGTAAAACAATGTCTTAACGTCTCCATAAGTAGATATAGACAGTCGGGAAACTTTGACCAAGTATTATTAGTTAGTGATACATATCCATTCTTATTAATTAATCAGGATTTCCTATGCGTCATCTAACATCACACCTTCATGTCTGTTCAAACTGTTAGTATCTAGAATTTTATGATTAGACGTATTTTCAAAATTATGGTGTTTAGGATTAGAGTTTAGTTGAACAACCCCGTCAAACTTATTACTTTGTCTTCTTTCTGAAAATTGAGCTACTTTATTCGACCTACTGAAGTTGTCAGTTGACTGGACAGCTAAGAAATTAGGATACGCATTCTGAAAAACTAAAGGTGTTCCTTTTATATATAAACCTGTTATGTTAATTTCGATTAATTTCCCTGAAGAAGTTCGGACCAGATTGCCGAACACAGAAAACGTTGTAATTACTCATTTCAATATCGCTGAGACTTTACAAATATAATTTTTTACAAATGTTTACTTCTCACTCGACGCCCAAATATTATAGAACTATTCTGTCAAATCTTGACTACAGTTCATTTGATGTAGTAACGATTTGTTTTCAAGTGCTACGCGAAAAAAAAATCCATCTTTGAATCTTACAAAACTCTGCCTATCCCCTTTTATTGACAAATAACGTACGCCAGAAAAAGCTTAAAATTAAGTTAAAATACTAATCCTGAAATTTTTTAAGAGGGTGGAACTTGTAGTTATTTGGATTAATTTAATTTGATTTGTTAGACCTAATCACGAACCAATATCAATCAGATGGAGGTCCCTAAAACCCCCGCAGGGAGCAATCCACAGCTGTTTCAACCTCAAAGTTTTGGCATCTTCATCAACCAGCGACCCAACCAGAAATAGAACTGGAGACTTTCGGGTTATGCGACCAAGCTCGCTGATAATTTAGCCACCTAGGAAGGCATTCAGTGATCCGTGAACTCTAACTTTGTAAATACATCATATAGTGCTAACCTTAACTGGTGCCTTCATTACGAATCTGCTTCACATTGATATGGTGGACCCCATTAGTTATGATTCTTCAAAATAGCTTCACAATATTCATCCAGGAGTCATTAATAAGTAGGAGATTGATATTCAGCTTTGGATTTATTTAACTGCAACTGTTAGATTTGACAAAATTATAATTCACGAGTCACTGAGATCTGGCATAAATGTCTGAATCGCCAGCGAGCGTCGGCTTATAATCATCATGGGTTCTATCTTTGGTGAAGTGGTGGACACTCCCTACGGTACAGTTGCAAAATAAGTCGAAACAGCAGTTCAGGATTTCCTGGTTTCCAGTGGTTCTCTAATTAATGTTGATTGGTGTCAGAATATAACAAGTGAAATTAACACTTTGTTTACTAGCATATGATACTTTTATGGATAGAAATGGTTCAATGTAGAAATGTGTTACAGTTACTGGAAGACCCAAATGAAAATACGCATATGCAACTATTATGGGGTTGATGTTGGGTCCCAAAGATTCCAATTGCTGAAGCCAGACAGGTAAATATTATTAAACTATTCTAGCTACCACTGACTTTCTGTGTGCCCGCAATGAATACACTTAATAACTACAAGCTAAGCCTTATCAGTTAAGTTAACATTGAAGCAGATGAAATTTGGGCTTTCTGGAACGAGAAGCCTGAAGAATTTTGTATTGATAAGAGGACTTTGGAAGATATGGACTTTGCAGACGATTTATACCTTATGTGACAGTAATTCGAAAATTTACAGGCAAAGCGTCGGTGTTGGAGCGGTATAATGCTTGCCGATCATGCTTAAGGTCAGGATTTCGATCCTCGTCCTTGTTTAACTGGAAGTAAATCCACTGAAGAGGGTTGGTTAGGTGTGAGACTACCAACCCCACCCCTGTAAAAATTAAACAATTGTCACTAAAACTTCAGAGCTCAAAAAGCTCGAAGCCCTTATGTTCCATTTGCAGCTCAAAGTGTAGCGAAAGAAGACAAAGATCAGGCAACGGATCGTTTATTGAGAAGATCAACAGATATTTATAGATTTTCATATACAGGCTATATAGGCTATTGTTGGGAGAGAAGGAACATCTTCTGAATGGTTGTTTTCATGCAGAAGGTTATTCTGTCATCTCTTTGCTGCCGTTTTTGAGACAGTCCAGTGATATATCTGCGAATCGTATCAACCCACGCTAAGTCCTCTGTGACTAGTTGTTCAGTTCCTCAGGGTTAGTCTTTGTTCTGGTTTTTTCTCATGACCAAGATCTGGGACGTAAGCATTGACGTAAATTACTGTCTACCAAATTTGGCTAGCAGACAGCTCTCACCACAAAAGGAAAACAACCAATAATTAATAATACAAGCAAAAATTAACAAGTTTGTAGCAGAGGCAAGCAGAAAAGACCACACTTCAAGCAAAGATAGGGAATACAGAGGTGATGAAAATAAACAATCAACACCAGTAAGCACCAGTCATTTAAACGGAAGAAATTTGAAGCAGGCCGTTTGCCTCACTTATCAAGCAAGCATCCTCTTAACTATAGGGGACAGCGCAAATGAGGGTGTCAAATCCAGAATCGAAAAGGCTGTGCAGATCTTCATCACTTCCCAATAAAGTTTGGAAATCTGCTTCAATCAGCATAAAGAACAAAATTCAGATTTCTAAAACCAGTGTCAGGTCACTTCTTCTATATGGTTAAGATACTCGGTGTGTATCTCACCAAAGGTATTCGAACAGGCTACCTCAGACTTGTATCGACAGTTGTCATTGCTCCATACTTAAGGTCTCTTTGCTCGTTTCAACTACAGGCGGAACGGACGAAGATGTCAAAGCTTGAATTGGAAAGGCAAGATACACCTTCATCAACCAGAATCCAATTTGGAAATCTGACGCACTCAGCATAAGGAACAAGGTTCACATTTTCAACAACAATGTGAAGTCGGTTCTTCTATACGGGTCATAAAATTTGCAAGCGTGTTCCGAAAAGGATACCCAACAACCAGTTGCAGACTTTCATCAACAGCTGCCCACTTCGCTGGCTCCATACTGAAGATCAAATGGTCAATCAGAAAGAATAAGCAACGAAAAAGTATGGAAACAAACCAAGAAGCGAAAGCTGAACGCTCAACAAATATATAGGCGAAAATGGAGATGGATTGATGGGGCATACATTAAGGAGGCCGCGGAATGACATCGCACTCCAGGCCCTCGAGTGGAATCCCAGTGGAAAGCGACGAGTGGGTCATCCCAAGGTGACATTGAGGAGATCGTGTAAGGATGAGATGAGAGAGTTTGGGCAACTGTGAGCCAAGCTAAAGAAGACGGTAGAAAACAGAAGAAAGTGAAGACGTGTTGTTGAAACCCTGTGTTCCACTTGGAACGCAAAGGAATAATAATAATAATAACTTCAGACTTGTATGCACAGCTGTCTTTGCTCCATAATCACGATCGTATGGCAGACAAAAAAGAATAAAGAACAAGAAACTTCAGGAACGAATCAATCAAGAACCTACAGGTCAACAAATTGAGGTGAATTGGACACACGCGTGGTAAGCCATTGCTTGAAAAGAACCCGAATGGGAAACGATTATTTAAGCATTGATATTGAAGTGTGAGATGTAGGAGATCCTGTGAGGGGAGTAGATAACAGTCTTTC